AGCTGCTGGCTGCTGAGGCTAAGAAGCCCCAAAGTTGACAAGTAAAAAGGCACGGTCCCGATGCTACCAAACCACACAGCAAGCCATTAACTTAAGTCCATTGTAAGTCCCAACGTCGGCAGAGCATAGCAGGCTGCTGAGCAACAACATGACTACATGCAGGGTCCACACGTGCCATAGGCTAGAGATCATTCCCAAGGCTTCTCCTTATATACAGGAAGCAGACCACATACCCAAAGCAGCTACTCAGCTGCTTGTGGTAGATCCCACCATGGAGTTGATTTGTCAGTCTCATCATAGGAAATAACTACCACCAGCGCTGCTCAGCCACTCAACCAGGCCCAAGCAAGTGGACACACAAACGTAAGTACCACAATCATGTTGTCAGAAGGGATCATTCCCCAGAGAGGGATGTCATGCTTGGTAAAGTGGAAGGTCGACAAAAGAGGTGAAGGCCCTCAATGAGAGGGATTGACACAGTGGTTGTGGATATGGGCTCAAGTACAGAAGGGATTGCCGAGCTAGGGCAGGACTGGGCATTATTTTGTTTTGCTGTGGATAGGTCACTATGAGTCAGAGACGACACAATGGCACCTAACAACAACAAACCAAACTAACTACCAATGAGTTAATTCTGACTTATAGCAACCCTATAGGACAGAGCAGAACTGCCCCATAGAGATTTCAAGGGTGTAAATCTTTATGGAAGGAGATTGCCTCATCTTTCTTCCATGGAACAAGTGGTGGGTTACAAATCACTGATCTTTTGGTTAGCAGCTGAATGCTTTACCCACTGTGTCACCACAGCTCCTTCATTTATCCTACAGCACTAATAAACAATGATCTCAGTCTTGCTGACAGTGGTTCCTAACACCTCTGTTCTTTCATTTATTAAAGAAAATTATTTGGAACAAATTTTTGAAATCTATGTTTCACATTTCTAGTCTCAGAGCAGTTTGTTTTCCTTAGTGCTTCAAAGTAAGGATAGGTCACTTTAGATTCAACCCTGAACTGGAACTAAGAAGACTCATTTGTTAGCTTTGATAAGAAATATGAGAACTTCACTAACCTGCCTTTCAGTAGTAGATTTTTTTTTACCTTTTGTAAGCTTAGTTTAACAATAAGGATGAATTTCTTCTAAATCACAAATAATTGATGCAAGAGCACTTGGAAGGACAAGTTTATACAACAAAGTAGCTTTAAAACTGCTCTTGTGAGGGTTTAATATCATTCATTCCTGCCCCTGGGAAGACTTCACATTCACTCACAGTGGCACAGTGTGCAGTTTTATGACAGTCGGTGTTATCAGTGTAAAGAGAGCTCACTAAAAGCATTCTCTGCTTAAATGTTGAGTTAAATCACAACTATATCTAACTCAGCTCATTGGCAGAGAGGAGGAAAGAAGTGGAGTAGGGCAAGGCCACCATTGCCATAATTATACACATTTCCTTTTTCAAATGTCATGTTGAAAAATTATCTCTGTTGTGCCATAATTCAAACACCATTTGTTGAATGCACACTGGGCCCAGCACTGCACTAGACCTCTACCAGGGAATTGTGCTTTCAGCTGAAGATGGTCTGCTCTCCAGTCACCATGCTTATGACCTCTGCAGAGGGCAGCAAATCAGGATCTTCTGATACTAAGAGTTAGTATATACTAAGTGCTTCCTTTCACACAAAACGAACTCTCTTCTCCCAGGTTACAACGTGGTCTTTCCCTCACCCGTTAGGTCTTTATTCAAATGTCACCTTCTTGGTGGACCCTTTCTGGCCACATATTTAAGACTGTTACTCTGCTTCTGTTATTCCTTACGCCTCTTCCATGACAGCACTTAACCACCGTCACACATTCTATATACATTTTACTTGTTTACTCTATTTATTCCCCTACTAAAATGTAAGCTACATCAGGATAGGATTTCCCCTCCACACACCCATGTATTTTGTTCATTGCTATATCCTTTAGTACATAGAATGTAAATGATTTTTTTTAATTTATTTCAATCCTTACAAAAATTCTATGAGGAAGACTACTCCTATCCTTATTCTATAAACAAGGAAACCGAAGTATTAGGAAGAGTAAGTCACTTTTCCAAGGTTAGAAAGCTTGTGTGTAGTAGTAACAAAAAAAAAGAATGAACTAGTGTTACATGCAACAGCATGGATGATCTCAGATGCATTTTTCTGAGAGAAAGAAGCTAGACTCAAAAAAAGCTACCTACAGTATGACTCTGATTATATGACATTCTGGAAATGCAAAATTAAAGAAAAAAGACCAGTGGTTTCCAGGGGCTGAAGTGGTGAAGGGATGACTACAAAGGGGCACAGGGCAATTTTTAGGGTGATGGAAATGTTCTATATCTTGACTGTGGTAGGGTAACATAGAATATGTATATTTGGCAAACCCCACAGAATTGTATGCTAAATATTTAATTTAACTAGATGTAAATGTGGTAGGCTGAATAATGCCCCTCTCCAAAGATGTTCACATATGTGAATATGCTACTTTACAAAGCAAAAGGGATTTTGCAGATATGATTAAATTGAAGAACTTGAGATGGGAAGATTATTCTGATTACCTGGGTGCGCTCAAGTAATCACAATAGTCCTTATAAGAGGAAGGCAGGAGAATGAATCAGAGAGTGATCTGAAGATGCTACACTCGCAGCTTTGAAGATGGAACATGAGACCATGAGCCAAGGGATGCAGGCAGCCTTTAGAAGC